TGGGGGAGACACTGTTCCCCCAAGCACCGCCAGGAGTGACCAGGAATAACGGTCACAAGCTGACAGAGGGTAGGTTTAGGTTGGACATCAGGAGGCGCTATTTCACGGTCAGGGCGGCTAGGGTCTGGAACCAACTTCCAAAAGAGGTCGTGCAGGCTCTTACCCTGGGGGTTTTTAAGAGGAGGTTAGATGAACACCTTGCTGGGGTCGTTTGACCCCAGTACTCTTTCCTGCCATGGCAGGGGGTCGGACTAGATGGTCTGCTCATGTCCCTTCCGACCCTAGAAACTATGAAACTATGAATTACAAACAACTGAAAAAAAATATCGCACAATTCTACTTAAAGGCATTACACATCTTTTCTACAACACAAAGTCAGTAAAATGTCACCTCTTCATACCCAGCACCATCCCTAGTTACAATTTTAAGTATAATCTCTCAAATCCTTTAAAGAAAATACATATAAATATATTATACAGGGTTTGATTATCCCAGATACTTTTAAAAATTCTTTTGGTGTTAATATGTGATAATAGCTTCTGAAGACATTGAATTTTGGGTTCTAAATGCAGTTTGCACCTGTAGTGGAACAGGATCCCCCTGAGCACAAATCTGTCAGAAGTAAAACAGAGGAATTAAATTAGGCTGTTTTGAGACTAAATTGTGGGACTTGCCCACCATGACTGCTAGATGATTCTATTTTGCCCACGTATCTAAGCAGCTAGAGTGAAAACTACTGAGCATGTGCAATACAGAACAGTGAGATGAGCATAGTTATATTGAATCCCAAACAGTGCATAAGTGATAAAGTCTGGAGTTAGGAGGCTATGCAAATACCAGTAACAAGCACAAAGGTGAAATAGGATCTCAAATGGAGTGACTTGTTATGGTGGCTGCATTCATACATACTGTAATGATCCTAATGGAAATATGGTTCAGGATCCATCAAGCCTTATTTATCCAAACTCCTTATGCAAGGAGAGGTCTACAGGATATAACAATTTGCTCTCTGTAAAAAGACTACAGAATCAGCAACATGTAACACAGAATCTCTTCCCTCATTTTTCCTAGACATCTATGAAAATTCCTACCTTAGTAGTAACTATAAAATACAAGCAGTGTCCACAACAGATTGTTTTATCTTTTGTTTTAAAAAAAAGAAGGAAATACATTCTTTACCACATTTTGGTTGATTTTGTGTCTGAAGCACGTGATGTAGACAACATAAGGCCAGTCGTCAGGCTCCATCAACACCCCTGCAGCATGGGCACAGGTAACATGGAAGGAAGCTGGACAGCGTCCGTAAGAGCACTGTATGCAGGCACCCGACATTTTCTTAATTCTCTGTCTGCAGAAGATACATTTCTGCATGGGCAAAACAAAACAGAATGTGAGCTACATAAATATAATTCAACTGACTTCCACAAGCATCTGCAAGACTCCATAGCTCCTTTTGTTTTATTGTCTGCATTTTACACTTTACAAAGCATATTACAAAAAATAATAATTCTGAATTGCAAATAAATCCTGCCATACATTGTTACTTTATAGCAAGCATTTTTGCCTTTCTTGGAAATGTGAAAAGTTAATATTGTGGTGCAACAGCAAAAAAACCCTGATATTTAGAAGCATTGTGATTGTAAATCCAACGTGTTATTCCGAAGATTAGCCTCTGCTCTCCCATTTGGACAAAATGAGAATCTGCAAAAATAATCACTGCTTCATGGCAATAAAACGTAAATAAAATCATAGATGATGGGTTGGGAAAGGACACCACGAGGTCATCTAGGTCTTCTTCATTGCTCAGAACAGGGTAACATACACCAGAACCACTGTCTAACTCGTTCTTTAAAACCTCCATGAAGGGGATTCTATAAACTTCCTAGCCTGTTCTAGTGGTCCTCATATTCTCATATTAGGAAGTTTTGCTTAATCTGCATCTTAAATGACTGTTTCTGCCGAGTATATTTTATAACAGCTTTTTGCGTATTTGAAGACTTTTATATGTCCTCCATTAGTCTACTCCTTTCTTTACTAAACAAATCAAGTTCTTGCAGCCTTTCCTTATAGGTCATGTTTTCTAAATTCTTGGCATGCCTGCTGATCTCCTCTGGGGTTTCCCCCATTTGTCAACATATTTCTTGAAGTGCTGCATTCAAAACTAGATGCAGGACTCCAGCTAAGTCCTCAACTGTGATGAATAAATGAGTAATTACTTTCCCGTGTCTTAAATAAAACACTCCTGTTAATACATCCTAGACTGACATTTCTTATCTTTGCAATGGCATTACATTACTGAAGCATATTCAGCTTAGTACTTTGCACTTACCTTTACTGAATTCCATTTTATTGATTTCAGACAATTTTCCCCATTTATCAATATTATACTGAATTTTAGTCCTACCCTCCAAAGTGCTTCCAACGCATCCTATCTTTATGTATATACTATACAAATTTTATGAATGTTCTCTCTACTCCAACATCTAAGTCACTGTTGAAAATTCTGAATAGCAGAGGACACTGGATAGACCTCTGACTAGCCCATTTGATGCATCATTCCAGTTTGACAGGGACTACACATTGATATAGCTTTTCCACAGGTTGTGCATTCAGCTTATAATAGCTTCATCTGGGCCTAGTTTTCTGGTGCATTTATAAGACTTTCAGGTGAGGATGAGACAAAAGACTTGCCGAGTAAAGATATGTCACATCTACTGTTTCCCCCTTATGTGTTAAGCCAGTTACCTTGTCAAGGATGCCAAACTATATATCCTACTTTTTGTTCGTACATACATAAAATATGCATTTGAAGGATGGGAAAAAACATAGGTATAGGCTCTCCTGTGCTGGATAAGCTAGTAAGTTAATCACATCTGTTTTCTTGCTGTCAGAAGTGGCCAATATGCCAGATCAAGTCATTTCTTTATTACTATGTATGGACACATTTTGTACTACTGCACATGGGAAATAAGCTCTTCCTGTTTATCATCTTTAGAGTTTATAAAACTAGAAATGTTACTGATGGTCATAACATTATAGTCTCTCCCAAAACCCTGTATGAGTTTCCATCAGTGACATTCATATTTATAGGTTGTTGGAATAGTGATTTATTTCATTTACTCTAAATTTACTAGTCACTAAACCCCCTGGCAGATGTTAAGGCAACAGTAAAATTGGGATCTGAGGAACTGTATGCCCCATCCTCAAAATTATGCATCCACCCCTGCCATCCTGCAGATCTCGAAGGGAGTGAGGGTGTCCCAGGTTCCAGGCCTGCTCTGTGCCCAATCCCAACACTCAGCTGGGCATCAGGATCAGGCACAGGAAAGCCCCAGGTCCAGTTCCAAACACAGGGCATTCCAGGGCCAATGATGACCATCAGCTTTCAATCATGCCATGAATGTAATGTCTGCTGTGGCCCTAATTCTGTCAAATAACCACTTCTCTGAACATTTTGGAAAAAGGAGAAAGAAAAGTTTGATCAGATCAGAATCCAGCTCACTCCTTCACTATTTTATTTTCTCTACTGGAATAATGGGAGGTCAATAAAAGGACCACTAATTTTTGTCAAAACAAACATATAATCCTTGATATTTGCACATGCCCCAAATCTTAGTTTGTTTATTCAGACTCAGTTTTGCTCAATTAGCACAGAAGAATTTTACAGGAAAAATCCAACATCCTAAAAGTCTGCAACCTGAACAGAAGACATTTTGAATATTTTAAAAATATTTTGAAATATTATTTTCATTGAGCTATATTCATAAATTAGGTTGTCTGAGGAAGAAGAAATATGTGAGTTAAGATTGCTTTGTCAAAGTGCACTACCTGATAATAAAATCAAGAATTTTGTCTGTCATCATATTCCTCTTCAATGAGTTCAAAATCCTCCATAGTTTACATGAACAATATCAATGAAGTATCAGCAGCAAACTTCACCACCTCAACATTACATTAATATGACTGGATCACCTTGAACTAATGCAACGGTCACAGCAGAGGCTGCCAGAGTGGTATATTTTGTTGTTTCAAGCCATCTTCTCAAATACTTAGGGAATAAATCTTGACTAGGATAAGGAAGGGCATATGAATACTTCAGTACTACATGTGAATGAAGAATTTTAGTATTTTACATGCACACACCTCTCTTTCATCTAAGGATGAAATATAATGTTTCATAAATATTAAATAATTAATCCTCACACCTGCTTAAGTACCAGTATGCCGATTAAATAAAAAGGGAAGAAAGACACAGAAAAGTAAAATGACTTTCTCCAATGAATCACTAGCAGAGATGTGATCAGAACTCAGAAGTTTCTGATTCCCAACATTTCTAGACTTCTATCAAACAGCCGTCTTTCACGATACATCATTCAATCTGATTTTCCAACTCATAAAAAATATATCACAGTAGCTGCTGAGTGATTTTATGCATTGCATTTGTGATCCTTACCCTACGCACAGCTTACACAATGCTAAAAACTTAATGAATTATGCTCTCAATCACCATTTACAGTTTGCTTCTATCATGTGTATATCCAAAATTATTCAAGTTTAAAGTTGCACAAGGACCTTATAAACATCCTACAGAACCATGCTGACTCTCCATAAAAATCATTAAAGGTATTGGGATCATTACCTCCATAACAGTCCTCTACTACTTAAGGTAACTGGCAGCTCTAGAAGACTTTTTTGAGGATGTACCATAGTAAGGGAATGAGTGGCTTTCACAGGTCTTTGCTAGATAGCAAAAGCATGATGAATCTCAGGAGCACTAAGTTCAGTTCTAGCCTTTGAGGGAAAGACTACCTGTCATGAGAATTCCAGGAAAAAATTAGGCAGACAAGGTTCTTTGGGGGAATCTGATATCTTTTATTAGACCAACTTAAATAGTTGGAAAACAATTATTAAGCAAGCTTTTGGGTTCAAAAACCTTTTGCCAGGCTAAGGGAGTTTCAGCAGTTGGTGTGTGCTCTTCCTGGATGGGATGAAAATTAAAGAAGCCAGAGGCTGGTCTAGCATGCATACAAGACAGGTAGTCAGTGAAAATGTAGA